CGGAGAAAGTAAGTCTGAGAATCATAAGCGAGCAGGCGAGAGTAATCGCGGTCCAGTGGCGCGGCTTAATGTACTTTCTCCATAGAAAAGTATTAGAGATCGCGTGTGAGTGACGGTGGAAAAGAGGAGACTCGTGGTACCGTGTGAGTATGTGTCTACGATAGGTAGAGAGACACGGCTGGGTAATTCAGTATCGCGTCGTTACATAACGGGCTCTGGCCTGACTAGATCATTCGTACGGCGAAGTGTACAAGCGTGTGCATGCGAGCATCGCGCTACTATGACAAAAGACTATAGAGACGTCGAAAGAGAGAAAGAGAGAGAGAGATGAAACGAGGTATACAAACAGATAAATAAATAGTCAGGGAAGAGAAGTATACAGTGAGCCATAGTCATCGATTAGGTTCACCGATGATGGGGTAGTACGTGGACGTAGTTACGCACTCACGCAAAGCAGTGCCTCACGCACGTACGATGAAGAAGCTACGACATAGATAGAAGTCGAGCAGGGGAGCCATTCCGATGTTGATGATGGCATAAGTGGTGGTGACCTTCGGCGCTTGCCGTGGGTGGGGATTATTCGCGCGCCTGGTGGGAGAAACCCAGTTCGAGTTTGTTGAACCGAGCCGACGCCGATTGGCTACGCGTCCTGGAGTTGAGCCGCTCTGGCGCGGAGGTCCTCGGTTAATTTCATCTTGCCCCAGTTACAGGCCGGGCAGGGTGAACGAACTAGCCTCACGCCAAGGCCCCGCCGACCTACTTTCCTTGAGCGGCTCGACCAATCGGAGTCGGCCGCTCGCTCTACGCGCGGAGCCCGTCGCGAGGCTAGGCACGGCTATCTAGGCTAGGACCGCCGCGAGCAAAAAGGCGCCGAAGAAAAAATCGCCAACGCTGTGGAAGGCCGAGGGGCAACGAACTAGCCTCGCGCGTGGCCCCGCGACCTACATTCTCCGTCTCTCTCGCTCCCGCACGCACTGCTAGCCCCCTCTCACTCTCTCTCTCACTCGCTCTGCCGCTGGAAAGTGAAACTTGCCAACGCGCCGTGGCGACTGTCACGAGGCTATCCTAGGTCCGGGCCGTCCGTCTACTTCCACGGTGCAATTGCTTATGCACGTAATTCTCGACTGTTTGGCCACTTTTTTCCATCGTAATTCGAACAAACGTATGTGGATCGGTTACTGATGAAATCATCGCTTACCGGCTAGTACACGTCCGAGAAGGTTCTCGCTGTCCTGATGACCGTTTCTATATGGCTGTTGGGATTCCTTCTCGTTCTCAAGATTCTCCAGAGGCGCCGGCAGTATGTCGCCGCTTTGTTCCTCGGCGCCACCGCGCGACTTGTACTCCTGAACCGTCATTGTTTGAACACACCAATCCTCAACCCTCCTGTCTATCATTCCCGGCAGTCACGTTGCCCCGTTAACGCCGAACTCGGTTTCCCCTTTTTTCCCAAATATATTTCCTCAACACACCAGTCCACCCCGTGCGCCTTCCGCTCAGCTTCTTCGTGTGCTGCACCGTCGTCTCTGCTTTAGCCCGTAAATCAGCATACCACCCTGACGATCTCACTGTCACACGGTTGGCACCCGTGATTTACACTTTGCTCTCGTCCACTCTGTCCCTCGATATTCTTCCGTTTAAAAAACTCTCCCGTATCCAAAAAATCCTCGAGCGCGAATCCCGGACTCTATTTTTCCTTTTTCTTTTTTCCTTATCAAGACAATATTAACAAACAAAAAAACTGTTATGTCGATCCAAGAAAATTACGGCAAGCGTACGGCTTCCAGGCGATTCGCGTTGTCCATAAGACAAGAGCAACCAATGTCCTCCTCTCTTGTTTACGAGGGCGAGAGTGTCGTTTTAACAGTGTTCAGCGACCGCGTGGCCTCGCCAACTAGCGAAAGAGAGCGTTGGTGGTTGTGTATGACGTGCAGTGCGGTACTCAAGTGAGTTTGCCGCTCGCGCGGCATATCGCGAGTCGCGCGCTTGCGCGTCCGACTATCGCGCCGCGTAAAGCACGTATCACGATCCATGATCGCCCCGTTCCATTCCGTTCTCCGGTTGATCGTGTATATAGGTATACAGCCAGCAAGCAAACCCCGACAAGGCTGTCAACCAAGGAAGTCCATAGACGGAACCCGATCGAAAATTTGTAAATGAAGAAAAAAAAATTTTTTTACTCAACCAACATAAACTACCGTTAACAAGAAGCATCGCTATGCTGGGTAGCTAGGTCGGGGATCGAACGTTGATCATAATATTTGCGACAGGCTGCGAAGCCTACTGCTCTCCTACGGCCAATTGGCACGCTTGACCCGTCATTAGGATCAAGGATTCCCGACTGTGGATTACGCACTGGCTCCTATATAGATCTTCGAGCATGGACCGAGCACGTATGCTGTGTAAAATTTTGTTACAATTCATCATGGAATTATTTTTGCCGATCGATCCCACAGTGCTTCTTTCGTCATTGGACATATTTTTCTTTCCATTGATTCCACGTGTCTTTTTTTTTCCTCGTAAGACGGCACTGCACGGTCATATCGCAGTACGTTCCCATACGATACTACTGACTCACTAACACTCGAGAGTGAAAGCCGTTTACCCGAGAGAGTCACGTCTCCAAAGCATACCACGAATACCCGTCTCTAACGTAAGAGTTACAGGTGAGCGACTCATCCGGCAGATACCCTCGTGCCGGGGTCCCGCTACGCGCCGTTAAAGGCCCTTTTACCACGAACCACGACCTACCCAACTCGGTACTGAGTCGTTTCGCCTCGTTTCGGTCTGACACTCGGACGAGCCCGAGTTATCTTTCGGTCGGGTCAGACCCGCCGGTTGGTATCCGTAGAATTGACTTTTCAAATATTTCAACAACCATCGTGGTCCCTCCTTTCCGCACCAGTTCAGGGATGAGTCGATGAAAACTGGTTCTTCCTTATGTTTGCACGAAGACAGCGAGAGTCACCGAGCGTCCTTGGGACACCCGTTATAGATACGTTAAAAGAAAGAGTTACGATAGGAGTATAAAATTTTGAGAAAAAACTTTTTTTTAAATTCCCATAAAATATTTCCTACCATAGATATCCGGCCTTTAGCACGTGAGCATCAGGCTTCACGGGTTTGGGTCTTGTCAACATGAGGGAGGCCCGACAGTAGTTTGGCTCAGATTTATAGATGGTCAATGCGCACGGGGTACAAGGGTCCTACCGGAAGTCCCTTTACGCCTCTGACTCCGAGACTTGCTTTGCGCATGCGCCGTAATCCTTCCACGAGTCACCCTACCGACTGTTCTTCGCGTTAGCTTGCAAATAATAACACAGTCGCTGCAACCGATCTAAATTTCTTCGCGATCGATACGTCAGGGATTAAGCTGACCTCATCTATGTGCCGATCCTGATCAGGATGATCCTGCACCTTCGTGCTTGGTATCAATTTACAAGACGCGATCTTTTCCGACGATGCGAATAACCGGGTGACCAATTAATCGGCACTCGCGAATCGGCAGCGTCGCGGGAACTTTTCTGAAGCTGCTCCAATTATTTTTAATCGGGCAATCGGCCCGTCCGCGTCGCTTCCTTCGATTTTCACCGCGAGCCTTTTGTTTACCCCCCGGACAGCTTCGCGTCTGAGGTAATCGCCGAGACGAGCTGGAATCGCGGGCAAATTCGCTTGCAAAACCTACGGCCGAGTCCATATGTGTGTTACTAGGCTGCGTACGTACGTGTTCCAAGTACCGAAGTCGACGAGGTTGACTCCGCACGTTTTCACGCGACTCGATCTCACTTTTCATCCTGACACAAGACAACAAGGGTATATCGCCAATTTTCAAAATCCCGTCCGCCTCCATTCTCACAATGTTTATCTGTCGTATAATTAACATGCCTGTAAATAGGCATATACGGCCGTATGACTTTGCTCACCGGTTTTATCTATGTGTGGGTCGTACCGCGGGTTGCGCAATATTTATAAGTCAACAAAAATGAATATCCCCATAACAATTTATACGTTTCGAGTAGATTGGGAAATGTAATAATTTTTTTTTTTTTTTTTTTTTTTTTATTATAACGGTCACCCATATTTTTTGCTGGTAACGCGTTACGCATTCTCACGCGATATCGGCTAATCGAATCGACGGCTCTGGGCGATGCCGTAGCCGTTGCAAAAGTATTACTGTGGAATTACGCGATCCAGACTTCCTGCTACTGAAAAATGCCAAAGACCGTTAGTTACCTATAGGACGCCGACTGACTGTTGCAACGCGGAAAGAAGAAATCCCACGCGAAATCCGCGACGGCGAGTGCTCCGTTTCTAAGGTGGGATATATATTGTATGTATATAGGATTGAAAAGCATTGTCTCAAAATAGGAGTGGGACTGGTGTCAGAAGTATCAGAATGCAATAAGGAGCTGCTGCAGCGTGTAGGCAGTGCGCACGAAACTATCAAAAACCAGACAGACCGGACTTTGACGGCTGCAATCTCATTGGATCTTGAGAACACATTTTTTCCTCTTTGGCACCGCCAATTTCTCACCTGAGAATTCAGCCGCTGAATTACATATATCTACGACGCCATATACTTGCCGCCGTAGTATGTCGATAGTCGAGCTGGACGGATGTAAGGTTAATGCTGTAGGTGTTATCTCGAAGCGAGTATTGATTTAATATGGAAACGCCATTTGTGTTCTCGTACTTTTAGCCTAGATCCGAGGATGAATTTTTCTCAATCAATTTCCCGCCGTCTGGATGGATGCATTTAACCAGTCACCCGTGCTGGCGGGATTAATACGACAAGTCTGTATAGGTATTACGTATTTGGTAAGTACGCGTTTCCAACAGGGCGACACTAGCGCCGCGTGACTTTCCTGGACTCCTGGATTTCGCAATTCCCATGGCGAAATCTTTAGGGAGCACTTGCACTCTGATACAGATACAGTGGGGGATAATACATCGTGGGATGTTTTAGTGACGCTATGGTATGCCTATTGGCGAATTCACAAGGTGCAATGACTGTAGCGACAAGTATCAGGCGTAATACCTTCAGGTGTGTTCTCAAAGTAAAATTTTTAAAATCGTTCGAGTTACAGCAGACCAGAGACCACGTCGAGGTACGATTACGTGAATAAATTATTTTAAAAAATATTAGCGACAAAAGAATCCTGAGCGGGGACGTTTCGAAAATCGCGCACTGCGCGTTCGCCTTAAGACATTGGTTGCTGCGAACGGCTGCGCTGGTTGCTCAAGAGGTCGAAATGGAATGCGCTCCGGTCAGCAGCAGCAACCCTGTACGATCGGGGATTGTGGATTCGCTCGGGTGGCTTGAGTGACATGGGACTGGTCGAGTTATTCGGTGAACGTTGGAAATTCGCCCTAAGGAGTTTCTTTTACGGTTGGAATAAAAATTTGTGTTAATACCAACATGTACGATGGATAGTTGGGTTTGTAAGAAACGTGATATGAAAATTGACGCGTTTTCATGTGCGATATGAAAATTTCCATGCGACTTAGCAATAAAGGCGCATTCGCATCGTCGCTTATCATCCAAGAAACATCCTACGGAGGAGTTCAACCTCATTTCCGTGTTCGGATCTCGGTTCTCGACTATAGACTTTCCCGACCTGACCGTTCCAGTCAACCTACCTAGGTAACCTACTCCCTAACACCGAAAGAGGAGCAGGACCTACTTACCCAGATTTTGCACTAGATATCGACCAAGCAATTAAATGGAAGATGGATGAGCACAGTCGAGCGAACACCATTTTGAATCTTCGCTCGAATCTCGATTGCGCGATTAAAAATTAATTGGAAAGATAATGAAGAAAAAAAAGTTTCGCGAAAAAAATTTTAAAAAATATTTTTCGAATTTGCAAATATTCCGCACGATCCTCGCGCGAATTGCGTCATTTACTTTCACTGCGTTCGGAAAAATTCGACGATTCGGTATAGAAAGCCCTTTTCTTTGCGATCGAGAAACAGACCATTGAATCTTACGGGTAGTCGCGAAAAGCTACGACAGGTGGAAATTTTGTAGTCTGACGTCATCCAGCCCGGCCGTAAGAACGTCACTTTGCTTATGTTTACGATTCGATTTCGCGACGTCCTGGATATTGCTAAGGATTTGTTTTCGTGCGACGCGTAAGAAGTGCCACGTCAGGCTCGTATTGGGATCGCGCTGCATTTCAGTCCTCGTAAACAAAACGACGCAATCGCAAAATTGCGCGCTAATGGAAACAGCGGACGTGCGTCCTGCCACGCGACATTCTCTCATTAATCCTGCCGGCTCGGGGGATTTTAGAGGACAATGCGGAGAAATTGATTACGGGAACAAGTCGGCGCTGCCCAATTTCCTCGTTTTCGGCGCAGTTCGATTTCTTGTCCGAGAACTTTGTATCCGCTGTGGAAGGACGTGTTCAAGTTTTATTTAAAAAGAAGCAAAAAATTAGTCGCACTCGATTCACTACGCGTATTCGCGACCCAATGATCTTTTATCGGACAGGACATTGTCTGGATCACGTATTTATATTTTTCTTTTTAGATTTCCTTGCTCCACGTATGCAGCGAGCGCAACGAGTGTCCTTTTGTGCAGGAAAAGTCGAAGACAAAAATTAAAAAAAAAAAAAAAAAAAAAAAAAAAAAAAAAAAAAAAAAAAAAAAAAAAAAAAAAAAAAAAAAAAAAAAAAAAACGTGTAATCGGTCTTTCGTCGAAACTACAAAAAAAAAATTGGGACCGATTGCGCAATCGGATTGTCACTCATGACGATCGCGAATGTGCTGTCCGACGAGTCGTGCAAAAATTCGCAAAAATAAAGTGACGGCTCGCGTAGGAGCAATGATAAAAAATAATAACAATATACTCAACGCGAAAAATCACACGGGTCGTAGGGGGGACGACTCCGCGTCGGATTGCGAAAACCGTCCGAAAAATTGTATAGTGCGCAAGCTGCGTTTGGCAAAATTGCAAATTAAGGAAGTGCTAATATCCAGTGAAAGCCATGCGATTTAAAATTCCAGTAGACCTGATTTGAGTTCACGACCCCGAACCCAGGGTGGGAGTTGGCTCACCCGACGATGGCCGTTCTGCGATAATCGGGTCGCAGCAGGCCAACCCGAGGAAACTTTCTAGTCAATTGTCGCCTTTGTTATCGTTCCGCCTTTATCGGCGTGCCGAAAAACCAAAAAAAAAGACTAAGAAAAAAAATCTATAAATTCTCAACCCCCGATTAAAATTTCCATAATTTCGAAATTACCGCGTCAAAGGCGTTTACGAACCTTTTGCCGCACAGACGAGCAGCTTCCCCGAGGCCTCCCCGTTATCGCCGACGGTTATCCAAAAATACTAGAGAAAAATTCGAAAATGAACTTTGGAAAATTTTTTTTTTTTTTTTCGAGGACCCCATTCCACCGAGTTCCACGAAGTCAAGAGACGCGTACGCGTTACACGGTTTGTCCTCGACACGTGCAGGTTAATGGATGCTGACTGGGACAGTCGTCCGTTGTGGAGAACCGCATAAGTGACGGGTTCGTCATAAAGGAGCGTAAACAAGCGCCTCGTTCGAAATTATCAATCTTAAAATGTTACCCTTGAATCGGTGAAAGGAAAAAAAAAAGTTTTACCACCATCCATACCAATGCACAGCTGAATAAGCTACAACGCTTGAGGTATCGTTCAAGAGTCTCTCCCTCTCTCTCTCTCGCGTTACCTCAAACCGTATCTTCATCGTAACCAGACACCATAGCTTAGCGCGACCCAACAAAGGACCTACAGAGACGACACTCTTTTTCGCACGTATTAAGCAAGCCTAACCTTGACACAACCAACACTCGACCGAGTTTAGACTTCGGTGCGTCCCAGATGAAGGTACGGAGGTATTTTCCTCAGGGCTCTTTTCATTTAAAGATACGTGCAACTAAAGCGTGCACGTTCCAATAATAACAGAGCAGAACAATGCAGTTTGGACTCCGAGCATAGAAACCAGATAAGGTCGTCGGACGCTACCGGAAGTCATGATCCAAGTGGGAGTACACCGAGCAAGATGCTGACCTGCATCAAGATGCATCGGCGCTATCTCGAATAACGATACAGTTAGTTCGAAAAGGTTCCGCTACTTGGCGCCACTCTCTCTCCTCTCTCTCCCGTCACCGTATACCCCAATGCATACGTAAAACTATCTTGGCCACCGCGTAGCTTCGGTTTACGTCAGCGACGTTTCAAATTGGATTTTAATAGTTTTTCGACAAAGTCGAAGCGACGTGAAATCGTGAAAACGAAGTGACACGGGCCAAGTGCTCTGACCGATTAATCGGGAGGTGAAAAATCTCCGAGCGAAACACCACGGATGCCGGACTGCAAATAGACGGCCTACCGAGGCACGACTCGGGATCGTGATTGCATAACGTTTGGCATCACCGCAAGAAACGCATCCCGGACCACGGGTAACGCGCTATGATCCGGTAAATATAAGTTGCTGGTGTATCGTTAATATAACGTTTCTAGGTGATACTTTTAAGGAGGAAGTGGCGGCAGATCGTTACTTGTTAATTTAACGAAATAATCGTTATCACACGGGAGACTTTACGGAATTTTTAAAAATTCTATGAATTGCAAGTACATGCGATATTATGGTACTGTGTACTTATACATAGTCCGTAGAGCGTAATACAATCTACTTCGTAATGGCTCGTAATGAGATCGCGCACCTTAAGGTACCTTCGAGGTAACTCTCGGATTGAGATTTTACAAATTACAATACGACGGGTCTACCGTGGGCTTACGTTGGCTCCGAGGATTTCGAAACGCGAATTGTCCGGTGGACACGCAAGAGGCACTTAGTCGCATTGAACGTAAAGCAAAAGCGCGGGCCTTTACTTGCTCGAAGAATTCCTAACGGAGCATTGTGATCTGGCGCAAGTCTCGTAGCCTTTTGTCGCGCGGGCAGCGACTTTTTTTTCAGTCAATACCGAACGTGTACCATATACAATAGGCGCAGTGAGCCTCCGATCTACGAATGATCGTAAATTATCCGCTGGATCTTAATTAGCTTGAGGCGAGATCGAAGGGGGAATGACGTCTGACAATTAGTACCGTAGATTTACGTAATCCCTTTAGCATAAGATTTACGTCATATATAATTTATCCTGTATCGACAAAACATTTCAAAATTTTCTCACCACTTGCAAATTGGTCGCCGCGGTCGTTTGAATTTGCCGCCCGATACCCGCGAAGTACAGTAAATTTGACGGGTTGCGATTACTTGGTAATAACAGACATATGACATTTTTTAATAGCTTACGGAACGCCGATTCGGTCCAGGCCTATGACACGGGTAAACGTCGCATTTACGTGGGAGAGTCGGTAGCTTAACGGCGGAGGAGGAATTAATCTAGATCAATTCCGTGTAGGGATCCACGAGTGGGATATCGATCGTGATCGTGATGCATGGGGACAATGAGCATTAAGAGCCGATCGTGATCGATCGTAAAGGAGGCTGTTGGATATTGTCAGTATATAGTATATATGCGGATAAAAGAGACTTGCAGGTGCAGCAGGCAATTGCATCGCACCGTGAGTTGCATCGGAGTGAAACGATCCTAGGCAGCGATTGTTATCGAATCTGATGAAATTTTTTTTTTTTTGTAAATTAAATTTCCTACGTGAGAATTCCATTATGCCGCCAGGGACTTCACAGGCAGGACTCGACGTATCCTGGATAACGTAATTTAAGTTTCGATCGCATGTCCTCGCTTTCTCCGGTGAGATCGATTTTTGTTCTCGTGATCCTTTCGCCCTGATCGAGGTTTACCGAACCGTCATTGCCGCTTATTAATTTGGTCCCTGTCCTCGGATTCTGCGTAGGATCCCCCATTGACGACCGCCGACCGCCTAACGCGAACGTGAATTGCACAGAGTCACGGGTGCACGTTATTCGCGTGACTATTCTTTCCTCCCGATTACTTCACGGAGGACTTTTGAGTCACGCTGTATATACGTCGACGTTCCTTCTCGCACTCGGTTGATATTAATCGAAGCGCCGATCGACGCGCACAACACGCTCTTGCGGAGACCTTGAAGCGCCCGGTGAACGTTACGGCTTCGGCGTGTCTACAGAGT